GTGGGCTCGGCACAGTGAATGCACGTGTGGCTGGGGGGAGTGCCTGGGAGTAGCAGCCTTGCGAGACGCAAGCAGGGGTGAGGGAGGGATGAGCTGACACAGGTGGGAAGAAGGGGATGGAGGAAGCAAGGAGCCCTGGGGGCACAGCCAGGGAGGACCCTCGCCCTGGGCAGGGCAGCTCCACCTGCAGCTGGAGCCTGGGCTTCCAGGTGAACGTGCCCCGGGCAGGTAACTGCAGCAGACACACACCTGCGCTCCTAGCGCCGGCAGACTTCCGCTCAGGGACAAGCAGGACCCGCTCCGGGTCCACCCTCGCACTTCTCACTGGCAGCCCCCAGGGTTTGCAAGGTGAGCTGGATTCCCCTAGAGGGCAACAGAGGACTGAGGTGGCCCCTGAAGGGATGGGAGCAGGTGCGTCCCTGCGGGCCCAGACCCTCGGATATGGCGCCTGGCGCGGCGGGGGTCGCCACTATTGAGTCATGGGGGATTGTGTCATGTTCCTTTGACGGCGCCTCCATTTGACAGATGAGACCACTGAGGCCCCCAGGCAAGCTCCTCTGTCCAAGGTCCCTGCAGATCACAGAGTGGGGATGGACGTGCGCAGTAGGCCCCGCCTCCACCCTCACTCCTTCTTGCCTCGCTTGGTGCTCACCCCAGAGGACCCAGGCCAGGGCCAGCACACCCCAGGCTGGGCAGCCCCCGGTCACCTCCCACAGGCCCCCCTCCACTGCAGCCTCACACTGGTGCTGTCTGCGGACACCACAGCCTGAGCCGGCCTGCAGGAAGAAGGGGTCATCGGGTGGCCGGCGGCCCTGCCTTCACCCAGCAGGGGCAGCAAACCCGAGGTTCTAATTAGCAGCTTCGGGAGCATCCAAGTGCCCTGCATGTGAAGGAAATGTGTTTCCTAATTGGCCCCCCGCAGGGTGTCAGCCAGAGAACGGGATTACAAGCTCTGAGCCAGCTCCCTCCCAGCCCAGCCTGGCCTGCTCCGGCCTTGGCTGCCCTGCCCTGCCCTGCCCTCCCTTCCCTTCCCCAAGCCTGCTCCCTCCTGTCCTCCTGCTGCTTCGCCCAGGGGTCCTGGGGCCCAACCGAGGGTGCATGGAAGATTTTCCACAGCCTGCACCCGGCCGTGCCCGCCCTGCTCCACTGTTGTTCCCCAACAAGGTCCTTGTCCCGATACCCTGCCCACCTCGACCTTGGGCTCCCCCGAGTCCCACCAGGACCCCGTGCAATTCCCTGCTGAAGCTTTTCCCATCCTGCCTCCCGCTGAACATATGGGCCTGGAGGCCGAGCTGGGAGACCCCCGACTTTTACATGAACCTTTTTTTTCCCCCAGGGATGGCCCAGCATTAGAACTCCTGCTGTGGTCTGACCGAGGTTTGTCCCCAGCAAAGCTCACGCTGAGGCCTTGACCCGGTGTCATGGTGTTGACAGGGGCTGGGGCCTTTAAGAGGCATTTTGGGTCCCCACAGGTCCACTCTCACGAAGGGGGTCCAGGCAGTTCCCGGAGGAGGGGACTGTGTAGCCCACAGCTGGGAGTCGGAAATCATTGCCCTCTTGGTCCCCTCTTTCACACGCGCCTGCTTCCCGCCTGTGTTCCGGGATCTGAAACAGCATGGGGCCCTCACCAGAAGCCGAGTGATGCCAGCGCCATGCACACAGACTTCCAGGACCACTTTCCCTCATAAACGACCCTGTGTCAGGCACTTTGTTACAGCGGTGTAGAATGGACTTAGACGGCATAGGTCCCAGTGGGCAGCATGGCTAGGACAGTCCAGCAGGGGGCGCCCTCGGTCTCCCCACAATCAGCTGCTGCTCAAGTCTTCCCCTGAACAGACCCGTGAGGCCTGGGCAGCAGTGTGGGCACAGGCTGGGGGGTCACCATAGCGTCTGTGCCAGGCAGGGTCCCAGGAGGCTGGGCCGCAGAGGTCCAGCTGTGAAGCCAGACACGCCCCCTCCCCGAGCTGGGCCGGTGTCCCCATCTGTGATCTGAGGGACCTGAACCCGTGAGGAGGGCAGAGGACAGAAGGTCTCACAAGGGCTACATCCCCTCCTCTCACCTCCAAGATCGATGCCCCTGGGGCCTGGCTCAGGGAAGGCCCTGGAGGCTGCACAGTGGCTGGAGCAGGGATTCAGGTCTGGCAGACAAATGGGGAGGGGACCCAGGTGCCCCCAGGACCAACAGGGCTCAGGGAAGCCGAATTCATCAGAGGAGAAAAATCCAGACGGAGTCAAATACAAGGGTGCTTCAAAAAGTACATGGAAAATGGGATGGAAAAAGAAAAAAAAAAAAAAAAAAACTTTGGGGCCAGCGTTGTGGCGGAGCGGTTAAGCCGCCACCCACAATGCAAACACTGGAATCCAATGTTTGGCTGCTCTGCTTCCAACCCAGCTCCCTGCTGATGCACCTGGGAAAGCAGCAGAGGATGGTCCACGCAGGAGACCTGAATGGAGTTTCTGCCTCCTGGCTTTGGCCTGAACCAGCTGCCGGCCACTGAGGCCATTTGGTGAGTGAAAAACATCTATTTCTCTGTGTGTGTGTGTGTGTGTATAACTATGTCTTTCAAATAAAAAAAATTTTAAAGATAAGCTTTTTGTACAAAATAATTATGGGATGTAGGCATCATTTCGTCATTATCTACATTTTCCATGAACTTTTCAAATACCACCCCGCCATACACACAGAGTCAGGTGGACAACAATCCCCTTTGGAAACCTCACAGGTTCCATGTTTCCCTTTGGCACTTGAACACGGAGCAGAAATCGGGTCAGAACCTTCCAGAAAGACACCAAGGCCCCCTTCTCAGCCTCCCCTCCTCTGAGGAAGGACATAAAGGACTCCTCCAGGCTAAACCCTAATCAGTCTCCCCCGGAAAAGGTGCACCCACTCCCCTTCCCTCCCGGCTCCCTGCGAGGCCAACCCAGCCCCTGCAGGACAAGAGAGGATGGAGGGAGGTTGACCTGGATCCTGCTCGCCCCCAGCTTTCCCAGGTGTGTGGTGCTCTCAGGGAGGCAGGTGCAAAGCCAGGTTCCACTGTGAACGTCGGGGAACCCTGCTCAAGTCTCAGCCCACAGGAGAGCCCACCAGGCAGCGTCCAGCCCATGATGCTGGAGGCCTGGGGGCTGGAAAGAGGCAGCACGTGCAGCCCAGGGTCCCTCCTTGCTGCCATCTCCCGGCTTGGAGGCCTCGCTTCTATTAAATTCCAGGCTTGTTTTCCCGCGGGCGTCGGGAGTTCCTGTGCCGTCTGTGTTTTAAAGGGGATTCAGTGTGGACCCCCGAGGGACCTGCAGCATCAAAGCCCACAGCCTGGCAGGTTCTGGATCGGTGCCCCCAACCTGAACAGCAAACCTGTCGGGTACACCTGCTGTAGCCTTTGGGAGCCTCAGTGGCCTGGGGAGGGCGGAGCTGGTGTGCACTGTGTGTGCAGGTGCACACATGTGAGTCATATGTGCAATAAAACAAGCAAGTTAAGCTCCTGAGGTCTAGTCAAAGCGGTTGGCCTGGTTACAACTACCACCCCCGCCATGAGGCCTGGGCCCCAGGTTGGGGCTGCTGGACACCCTCGGCCTCAGAGAAGGCTATGGGTGCTACCAATAAATGCTCCATTTTACAGACAATGAAACCGAGGCTCAGGTCAGCAATGGGGCTCGTTCCAGGTCCCACAAGAGGAGCGTGATGGGGACCAGTCTTGGTGAGCGAGGCAGAGACGAGAGGCCACTAGGCCCTTAGATAAGGAATGCACCTCCACCCAGTGGAAGAGGCGAGAGGCAAGACCAGGCCACCTGTAGCCGGAGTGGGGAGGGCAGCGGGTGCAGGTGCACAGATACAGACTCCCACGGGCTGGGAAGAGGCCGCTCTGCCCCAGGCTCAATCGGCCAGGGCTACGAGCTCAGGGAGAGGCCCCCACAGTAGAGAAACCAGGCGTGGAATCAGCACCCCTGGGCATGGGGCTCCTTCCTGGCTGGGGTGGCCGCCCACACAGGCACCCTGGTCTGTGCTCAGGGCCCCTGCCCAGCTCGCCAGCAGATGGCTGGAGGATCCTCTGAGGACTTGTGGGTGCCCCCTGCCCTGTTCTGAAGTAGCCCGCCCCCGCCAGCTCTTTAGGAGCCCTGCCGATGCCCTAGCCCCCGCCGGCTCCTCCACCTCCTCCATCCCACCCTGACCCAGGCAGACCCTGACCCTGCGCCAGGCACTGCCTGGGCCCCTCCAGCCCAACAGACACTCTCAGGGTCCAGAAGCCACCACGCCAGCTCCTGACCTCCTGACCTCCTGGGGGATTAGGCTGGCTCAGGCGGATGCACAGCAGGAAAGGAGATGGACAGACATGGGGTGCATGGGCCTGTGGGTGCCAGTGCACAGTGAGAGCAGGGGGCACGGGACCCCCTTCCCTGTGCAGGTGTCAGGTGGGGGTGCAGGTGCAGGCAATCCTTCTGGGCGGCCCCCAGGGCTGCCAGAGGGAGGCCTCGGAACTTTCCCTTTGGAAGGCTACCAAAGTCATGAGGGAGCCGGGCAACATGCAGATTCCTAGGCCGATTGAAGCCCGGAGGGACAGTTCACACCCACCACGGGCCTCCTGCCCACTTGGGACGCCCACAAGTCTCCACTCTCAGTCACAGAGCCGGGCTGTGCGCCCCAGGGTACAGGTGAGGGACACTGAAGACCAGAGAGGTCATGTGACTGCCCTGCAGCAGCACAGCCTGTCAGGGGCAGAGCAAAGGCCAGAGGCTCAAGACCAGCCTGGGAGTCCCGGCCTCGGGCAGCTCTCTGGAAAAGGCAGGCACGCAGGCCTCTGGGGAGGGAGGGACCCTCACACCCGTTCTCCCTGGGGGCAGAGGTGGCAGCGAGGAGACAGCCCCAGGGGCGTGGGATCTGTCAGTCACAGCAGCTCGGTGACCAACACCCGCCCTGGCCACCTGCGCTGCAACTCCAGCCGGAGGGTCACATGGCCCCGCCCCCACCCCACACCCCCACGCCCCTAGACAAGAGGGCTCCCACTCACCATAGTCCTTCTTGCAGTACTTTTTCATGTTAATCTTCAGCTTCCCTTTGGAGGCCTTGCAGTAGGAGTCGCAGTCTGCAGGGGGCGGGGGCAGAGCACAGACAGAAACTAATTAGGCCGGGGATGAATAGGCTAAGGCAGCGATGCCCAGCGCCCGGCTGGGCGAGCGCTCCAGGCAGGCCCTGCTTCTCAAGAGGCGCTGGGGACAAAGGGCCCAAGCCTGACCCCTCCTCCAGCTTGACAGGGCCTGCAGGGGAGACTTGGGGGGGGGTCTTCCCTATTGCACCCCTCCCCCCACCTCTGGAGCACCCTCCCCCCACCAACCCCATCCCCATTCTCAGGGCACAACTGGAGACTGATTAAAGCCAGCAGAGGCCACCTTGTCACCCTGCGCCCTGGGTCTGTGGCAGGCGCTGGCTTTCAAGGCGTGGAGCCTCTGGCTGGGGTCAGGCGGCAACAAAGGGGTCACGGAGGAAATTAGCAGCCCGTGAAGCATCAGAAAGCCTCTTTGGTGTCCACTCCACTGGAGTGTGCACATAAAATGGCCCCATGAAGAGCGGCTCAGTGAGAGGCGGGGCTGCGGGCCTGCGGCTGCCGGTGCCACTCTTGGGGGCTTCTGAAGGGCCCCCAGCGTTGGACCTGCTGCTCCCAGTGGGGGCCCTGCCTGCTCCCCAAGTGCCCCCTCCCACCCCAGCCTGCCCACACCCTCTCCCCACCTTTGCTAAATCATCCCTGAGCACAACAGCCCAGCCCATCAGAGGCCCAGCGACTCTCTCCCACCTGCTCTGCCTTCACTACTGGACACACTGTGTTCTCTGACATGTGGGTGTTACTCCCATTCTGCAGACCAGAAAATGGAGGCCCCAAGAGGGGAAGCCACCTGCCCAATGCAATACAGGTAGCCAGTGCCAAGGCTGGGCCTCGGACTGGGGTTCCAGAAGCCAAGATCGCCACACCTGGGTCATGCCGAACTGTGTGTCCATGAACACCAGGGGTTTCCTTCTTAGCTTGAGGGTTAAGCTCCGGGCTGCGGACAAGGGCTGCCCTGTGGTTTAGGAACTCCCAGCCGAGGCAGTGACCAGCCAGGCTGGCCTGGGCTGGCAGAAGGGGGTCGGGTGTGCTGTGGTGAGGGGTAGGGGAACCGGGGACCAGAGAAGTGAAAGTTAAATGCCCACAGGCACGGACTGGGGTGTGCCACTGACAGGTTAAGACATTGTTTGGGATGCGGGTTCAAGTTCCCAGCTGCTTTACTTCCCATCCAGCTCCCTGCTAATGAGCCTGGGAAAGCAGAAGATGATGGCCCAAGTGCTTAGGCCCCTGCATCCACGTGGGAGACCAGGATGGAGTTTCTGGATCTTGGTTTTGGCCTGCTGCAGACTTGGCTGTTGCGGACATCTCAAGAGTCAATGAGTGGGGAGAAGCTTATTTCTGTCTCCAACCCTCCCTCTCTGTTGCTCTGCATTTCAAATAAAAAAAATCCACACACACACACATACACACACACGCATGTGTGCACATGGCGCATACACACACACAGGCACCTGCCCTAGGAGCAAAAGCCAGCTCCCATCCTGCAGAGGGGAAAACCAAGACCAAGTGGAGGGTAAGCACAGGCACACGGCGAAGCCAAGGCAGGCAGGCAGGCCTGTCGGTGCCACCTGTCCCCAGCCTGTGGCTAAGACCCAGAGCCAGGCTCTGGTCTCATGGGACGCAGAACAGGTCAGGAGGCACTCACCAGTACCCTGTACTCCAGTCATCACAGCTCCATCCCATTGCCTTGGCAGCCTCCTCACTCCCTCCTGGGCCAGACTTCTGGGGGCCCCGGGTAGAGATCAGCCTCAAGAAATGGGATACACAGCTGCCCTCCTGCTCTCCTGTGGTCTGAGTCTGGGGAGCACCCTCAGCTTGGCCTCCCTGTCCAGGCACTGAGGTCACAGTACTCTCTCCTGCTAGGTAGACAGTTGGTCTGTTATTGGCACAGGGACCTCCCTGGGGTCCACAAACTGGGTTATCCAGAGAGATCGGCCTTCACCCCACCATGGCCAAGTCTGAGAGGTCGAGATGAGAGCTGACAGCAGTGCAAACGCACAAGCCAACGGCACCATCGCCACTGTCATCACTGCCAACTCACGGCAGAGCCAGGGCCGTGGCTGAACCCAGGCTGCCTGGGCTCTGTCCCTGTTTTCTGTGCTGGGGGCAGGGACCTGGACTGCAGTGGTGCCCGGTGATGTGCCAGCAGAGCAGCCTCGGGTCCACCTTTCTTGCCTTCTCGTCACTTTTACGAAGGTGATGGGCCCATCCATTGGCAGGAAGGCACTTCTGCATGGCTCCAGACATACCTGCGTCCCAACCCTGACCCGAGCGGTCAAGGGCAATAGCTCTTTGGAGCCTCATGGGAGGCCAGTGGTTAAGATATCCATGACCCAAAGGAAAGGGGCTTGACTCCAGCTTCCTGCTAATGCAGACCCTGGGTGGCAGCAGCAATGGCTCCAAGTGTTTGTGTCCCTGCCACCCTCATGGGAGACCTGCATTGAGCTTCGGCTCCCAGCTTCAGCCCTGGCACAGCTGTTGGGAGATTTCTTCTCTGTCCCTCAGACAGAAAGTTTTAGAAAGACGAGGGACCGAGAGCTGTGAAAGGTTCCAGGGTGACAGAAGGCGAGCCTCACCCAGGGGAGCAGAATGGAGGGAGGCAGCGAGCCTGGGCACGGCTGACCACTGGCCTCCAGGGCTACTCTGCCTACCTGGTACCATCCACAGCTCTTCTGCACCAAGGATCCAGTGGGGGACAGAGACCTTCCCTCACCTGTGGCACCCATCGTCACCTAACAACACAGCACTCCCAGCCCTGCTTGCCAAATCGCAGCTTTGACCGTGAAAGTTGGTCTGTGCCGAACACGACGGCAATGCACGCGGTATCACTGTGATGCCCCAGGCGCTCCTCTCAGCCTTTCCGACCGGGCCACACCTCACAGTCCCCAGGGTCACGGGCCCAACGAGGCTGCAAGGGCTCAGGCTCCTCAGCCCTGGTTCCCAGCCGCAGCCATGGGTGCAAGCTCCCAGAAGCCTGGAAAACACTGATGCCCGAGTCCCACCCTCAAGAGATTCTGTGAGGTTTAGGGAGTAGCACAAAGATCTTCTTTGTTTATTAAAGATGTATTTATTCAAAAGGCCGAGAGAGACAGAGAGGAAGACTGTCCATCCGCTGGTTCACTCCCCAATGGCCACATAAATTGGGGCTGGGCCAGGTAGAAGCCAAGAATCTGGAACTCCATCTGGGTCTCCCACGTGGGTGCAGGGGCCCAAGCACTTGGGCCATCTTCTGCTGCTTTCCCAGGTGCATGAGCAGGGGACTGGATTGGAAGCAGAGCAGCGGGACTCAAACCAGCACTTTGATACCACAAGTGGATGCTTAACCTGCAATGTCATAATGCTGGCTCCAAAGGTCTGCATTTGTAAAACTCCCTGGAGGACCCCAACATGCAGCCAGGGTTGGCACCGCTCTCTGCGCCAGCTGGGAGCAGCGGGGATGAGCAGGCGCTGCACCCGCGGCATGCACACAGCCCCCAGCGTGGCGGAGGAAAGGCCTGGATGGGAGGCTGCTGTCTCGAGCTGGAGGGCACTCACATCCAGCCCCGAGCTACTCTCCCGGACAGCCTGTGAGCATTGCTATCGGCTGCTCCTGCGCCTTCTATCTTTTTGGTGGGTTCTAGGTCTTTCCTTTCTCTCTGCTGGTAATGTCTGTCAGGTCAGTGTGCTTGTTGTAAAGTGTTCCTTCTGCACTTCAGAGTTACCGATTCTTTTTTTTTTTTTGACAGACAGTGAGAGAGAGAGACAGAGAGAAAGGTCTTCCTTTTCCGTTGGTTCACCCCCCAATAGCCACTGTGGCCGGCGCACTGCGGCCGGTGCACTGCGCTGATCCGAAGCCAGGAGCCAGGCGCTTCTCCTGGTCTCCAAAGCAGGTGCAGGGGCCAAGCACTTGGGCCATCCTCCACTGCCTTCCTGGGCCACAGCAGAGAGCTGGACTGGAAGAGGAGCAACCGGGACAGAATCCGGTGCCCCAACTGGGACTAGAACCCGGGGTGCCGGTGCTACAGGCAGAGGATTAGCCTAGTGAGCTGCGGCGCCAGCCCTGAGTTACTGATTCTAATTTAGGTGTGAGCTAGGAAAACCGAGCCTGTTGGAACTACAGGGACCAGCGCTGTGGCACAGTGGGGTTAAGCTGCTGCTAGTGACGCCAGCATTCAATATCAGAGCACTGGTTTGAGTCCCGGGGGGCTGCTCCACTTCCAATCCAGCTCCCTGCTGATGCTCCCAGGAAGGCAGCGGAAGATGGCCTGGGTGCTTGGGCCCCTGCCATCCATCCATGAGGGAGACCAGGATGGAGCTCCTGGTTCCTGGCTTCCGCCTGGGCCAGCCCCAGGTTGTTGCAGTCATTTGGGGAGTGAACCAGTGAATGAAACCTCTCTCTCTCTCCCCCTCTATTACTCTGCCTTTCAAATAAATAGAATAAATCCTTAAAAAGAAAGGATCACGTGTACAATACAGGTAGAGAGGCTGAGTGTCCTCCTTTGGGGAGACGGCAGGCCACTGCCACAGCTGTCTGGAGAGTGAAGATCCTTCCCTGGGGGTGTGGCCCAGACAGCTGAGGTCAAGGACAAGCAACTCATGCATATGAATGACGGAACAGAGCTGCTAACACAGCTTCAAGACAGACAAACCACAGCTTCCCAAGGCCGCCTTCAAAATGGCATCTACTCGGCAGCTGCCCACAGGGTCCCTCCATGTTTTGTTCCAAGATAGCTAGGAAGACAATGCAAGAATGAAAACGACACTGATAGAAGACCCAGGGCTGGAATCTGGGAGCCATCTCCACTAATTAAAGGCAGATGGGGATGGGACGAGCAAAACCTGTCTGGTTTTACCTTGGGACACATCTCCTTGTCTGGTGAAACAGAAAGATCCAAGGAGCAAAAAAAAAAAAAAAAAGGCGGGGGAGGGAGGACCACAGAGATATGGTGACCAGTGGACAAATGGCCAAGAAGTGGGCAGGGTTGGGGAGAGGAAAACTGGGGCCA